AAAAAAATGACTTTTGGGTGTACTAAATGTTATTGTATAAAACTGCATAATTCCTACTTTGTAAAATTAGAACTCAATGTTTACTAATTTTTCTCATGTAAAATTGTGGAGTAATATGTGATTTAATCACATAAAATAATGAATTGTATATTAACTGTAACAGTTACTCTAATTATAGTGTTAATCTGTTTTTTTCTTACTACAACTTTTTATAAAAACTGGAGTAAAATGTACTCCAAAATATCAAAAAAGCTCAAGTTTGAATTGGCACATGCGCAGTGGGACCATTTCAACCCAGGATTCCGTTAGTGCTTTCTTAATCAGACCATGATATTCAGTCGGAGCTGTTTGGGCGCGATGCAACGTAAGAACTAAGGTAAGTAACTACTTTTTGTTTTGTTTGGCATGTGATAATGCATTCATTTTTATTTTTTTTTTACAGTTGTATATTAATGGCAGGCTAGAATTCAGTCAAGGAGAGTGTACAGAACTAGCTAGCTAACGTTACAAGCAACTACGGTAGCTAACGTTAGCTAGTCTAACACTGAAGCTCCAATTTAAATCTTGTGAAGATAACAGCGAAATATATAAAACACAAATATGGCTATTTGGCAGATTACACGTTTATAGAAATGTTATGAGACCGTACGTGAATGTCTGTTCTTTCGTATGGAAAGAGCTTGTTCTCCTTTCTAAAAACTTAACGTTACGTTACAGAGGACCGCGTTCCCGTTAAGCCCCTCATGCGGTAAATTGATTTGAAGCACTTTTTGTATCAACACAATGCTCGGTCATCATGACTTTCATTACGAATGTCTAACTTTCTTGTAACTAAGCTAAACAAAATGGGCACTTCAGTAATAGGCTTTTTTTTGTAATGCCTTAGTTTCAGTTGTTTCAATCCGTGTACATTCAGTTTCAAACCAGTGTATTGTGTATTATTAAGTCCAACATAGAAAGGACTCACATATAGGAAGGATGGTGTGCATGGGCCTTGTTTTTATGTCCACACATATAAACTACACCATTTTAACAGATTGGTCACACAATCACAACAAAGATGATCTCATTAGCCATTTTAAAATTGTCTAAATCTTGTGTCTTTCAGAAAAGGGGAGTGCAAAATAATCCTGACTAGGACCACCAAGATTTTATACTTTGAGTCAGGTAAGCATTAAACTGTAAACATTTGTTGTTTTCTAAGCAAATGAAATAATAATAATAATAATAATATTTTTTTCTACTTTTGTCTTGCAGGGGGAGCCATACATTGAAGTCTAGGGAGAACGTAGATTTCTCAAAGGAGAAAATGTAGGCTTTTAAGATGAGGTGGTTATGCAAACTTTGCAGTTTTAGGGCAACAACACGTTTAGCACTTCTAAAGCATTACAGATTGACACATATATTAACTGGCCATGGTCGCTCTTTACCTTGCTTGTATTCAGACTGCCCAAGTGCATTCAAAAGTTTAAATTCACTTCATGCCCATTTGTCCAGAGAGCATTGCCAAACGAATAAGTCAGGGGAAACTGTTGCTTTCTTATGCCTTATCTGTAACATATCTGCATTTCACACAGAGAAGCAGTATTTTGAACACATTGGATCTCACCTCAAAAGGCACGAAACTGTTCATTGTGTTTTTAAAAATTGTGACTACAGCACCAATATCTATTCAACTTTTGCATCTCATAAAAGTAGAAAACATACTCCTCACTGTCTTCAAGATTTTAAAAGTACATTATTGCAGACATCTTTAACTAACACAGAACAAGTTGAAGGAGATGTAACTTTAATTGTCAGAAGAAAATGAAGATGTTTGTTCAGAAACTGTAGTGGTAGAGGGAGATTCGGTGAAGGCCATTATTGATCATCTTAGTGCCTTGTTGCTTAAACTTGACTGCATCCATAATATCCCTAGTAGGTGCATATATGATATTGTTGAGGAGCTTCAGTTCATTAATTCTTCTGCTTCAGTACCTGTGATCAAAAATATTATCTTGGACACATTCAAAAATCACAACTGCAGTCCGGATCCAAAGTTGGTCACAGATTTGATGAACAATATCTGCCAACTAAGCCCCCTTAGTGTTGCATTCTGTAATGGTGGTCCCCTTGCTTCAGCATATCACAGAAAAGAGTATATAAAAAAACATTTCTCTGTTGTTCAGTCCATCGAATATATACTTGATTCAAAAGATGGAAAAACCTATCAATATGTACCATTGTTGCAGTTATTGTCACAGATTTTACAAAACGGTGACATTGTCCAAAATATCTTAAATAATGGAGTATGTTCTACCACAGGACAATATTGTACGTTTCGTGATGGTTCCCACTTTAAGAAGAATGCCTCTAGGTAGGGCATGGACTTTGTAATAGTATGATAATACTATCATTGTTTCATTATTCTTTTTCTTATTCATTATTCTTTATTTCATTATTTCACTATCCTTACATACTATTCATGTGTAAAAAAAAAACATACTATTCAAGTGTAAAACTTGGACAAAAAAGTTGTGAATTAAAAAGGTTGTTGTTAAATATTGTCATTTTGATATTTATTTTTTCGTATTAATCCAATAACATTTCAGAAATGTAGTAATTATTACACAAATAGAATACTTAATCATTATATTGTAAAAAGAATTAATATACTGATACAACAGATAAAATATAAATAACATTTAATAAAGTAATCTATTATTGTAAATGATCAGCACACATAATAGTTACTCGGTGTCTTTATGAACCACCCACAGGAAGAAATAAGAAAAATCACATCATTATATCACATAACCATGTTTTAAAAAAATTCATTCTGTAGTGTAAGATTTATTTACAAAACCCATTTAGATTTTACTTGATAAATGCAAGAGAGTTTTACTAGATTTATAGTAGTACATTTTAATTAGAAACTCATTGTGCAAAAACTTACGAGGATTTTTCTAAGTAAATGTTAATAGTTTTTTTTT